TTCTGCTATGCTCAGTCGATTATAATCTTACTCTCTTTCAACTTTCAATACCGTGCTGATCTTGACCGGGTGTCCGATATCTGATGTGTGACAGTTAGATCTATCCCACCACGGAATTCATCTTTGTATGGCTTTTATGGCCTATCATACGCTGGATTCGGGAAGATCTGATACGCAACGGTTGACTATTCAGCCAGCCAATACGCATCTATTATTGTTTACCCATCATTTCCCCATACTCTCCAATACACCCCCTTCTGGTGAGTACTTTGCGGAGTATGGCCATGAGCGTGGGAATGTTTGAGAGTTCTCTCTCGATTGGAGCCAAAATTTAGCTTCTCCCTGGCCTCTGGTCTTCTAACTGGAACGAAAATGACTACTATGACTGATACTCATCACTATGCTTCAAAAACTTGGCTCTTTCTTTCTTTTTCTTTTCTTTTTCTTTTTTCTTTTTTCTTTTTTCTTTTTTTTTCCCGCAACGCTCTGGTAATCAGAAAGAAAGCCATGAAGACTTAACTCATTCTTTTTTGCAGGGTAACATGATCTCTACTTGAGCTGACCGCATTGGTTATTCGAAAGACATCACTGGTTCGATGTACTGGGTAGCGTTTATCCTCTATCCAACCGGGGTTCCAGTACGAAGTCGCCACTAGATATGAGAATGGACACAAGACTACATACAGAGTACATCTGACTAGAGTCACGTAAGGAGGATGGGCGCAAGAGTCTGCGTGTACAGAGTATCGGTGATGAATCCCCCGGACTCGGAATTTTCTTGGAGACTTGATCAAATCCGACCGATATCTACAGAGTCCAGCTGGTGCACTCCTGCACAACTCCCCCCCCTTCTCTCCTTCTACTCTGCACACCATCTGGCATCCTGGGTGGTGACAGTGCCTGCCAATCTCCTTGTTGTCTCCCTCCCACACTCCCACTTGCCCCGGGTGGGCGGTGAAAGGAAACTGTCGGGGTCAATTCGTCCCTGCGAACGGATTCAAAAATGCTGCGTTTGTGTGTACGAGGTCACTGTGTCTGGTCAGCCCCGACCGGTCAATTCCCAGACCAGGGGAGGGGGCATGCATATTCTGTATTCGTTCTGCTTCTCGGTTCTATTGTGCTTTCTGACTTGCAGTCCAGCTAGAGAAAAGTATTTAATACAGAAATTGACATACTACTGTGCCATAATAATCCCTTCTTTTATTTCCTGATCTGTCTTGGCGCCCGCCGGGGAAAAAAAAAAAGTGAGACTTGACTGTCTCGACTGCTCCATCTTCCTTCCTCTTTACTCTCCCTCGACTACTCTCTCCATTCTTTCTTTCCCTCTCTTTAATTACAGTCGTCTCTTCTTTTGCTCTCCTTTGCTCCCATTCTGTTCTTCTGATCTCTCCCCCCCCTTATTTAGCGTCCTCCGCTCAGCTCCGTTTGTTATCGATCTCCACTCCTTCCCACCGCGGTTCCGCGCGTCGTCCTCTTTATCCTAGTTCTCCTCGACTGCGCATTTTGTCCGTGGCGTCATGTCCTCCCATGACAACGCGGACAGCCAGTCTGAAACCGTAGCGAATGCCGTGACCGCCATGAAGCTAGAGCACGATGATGGTGGTGCTGCGTCGCCCGTCCTCAACGGTAGCGGCGCCGTCAAAAACGAAGAAGAGAAATCACTTGCCAACGGATCCGCCCCCGAAGTCAAATCTCGAAGTCAATCACGACCACCCGTCAAGAAGGAAGAAGGGGAGGGACGTGAAGACAAAGATGCAAATGAGGAGGAAAAGGTTGGGGGTGATATTACGGTCCGGCTTGAACCTGGTGAGCCGCCCAAGCTGGCACGTAGCTCTTCGCAAAAGATTGTGCCACGGCCTCCTCAGCTATTCTTGGGTTTACCGGATAGCACGGGGGAGGCTAGGTCGACCTTCGAGGTGATGAAGACGTGCACGTACGCCAACAAAAACATGGGTTATACGGAACATGCTATGGAGTGTGATTGTGCGGAAGAATGGGGTAAGCTCTTTTCCTGTCCCTCTGCGCCTGGCTCTCAGAATTTGGAGAACAATCGCATTCATGGGTGTCTTTGATTCTCTACTTTTTTTTTTTTTTTTTTTTTTTTTTTTTTTTTTTTTTTTTTTTTTTTTTTT